CACCCATTTCAACCAATAGGACCCTATGTTCTTATTGTTTATAGCTTTGGCTATCAATTTCAATAATCAGCCCGCAGGAGCGCGTTGTGATGGTCCAATGCGCTAGCGACTCGCAAGTCGCAACCTTTGAATGTTATCAAGAGAAAAAAGAAGAGTCCGTTAGTTCAGCAGGACACGTGCTTCTTTCGTCCTCCGATGTCTAGAGTAACCTACGGTCTCGATGAATTTAACTAAAAATTTAGTCGACCAACCAAGTCCTTTTGGTTGTCTATTACGTAGGGAGAGAGAGAACGGACGTGTCGAAATGGACGTTAGTTCTATAAATGAGCCCTAATATGCATATATTCTAAGGGTCTCAGAGCTCACGTCATAATGCACATAGTTCCGTTTGATAGAAATACGACAAAATATGGAGCTGTTGGGGCCCAAAAGGGCAACAGCCCTCTAACACGAAAAATGAAACTGCCTATCTCCAGAATTCCATCACCAAATCAAGATGACCAAGAATGTTCATAAATGAGCGTTCTTCTGCAAAAATGAGTAAATACATGCAAACACTCAGTCAAATGGTGCTTCACAAACGACAGGTCGCAATAATTGGACGTATTTCTGTCAAACGGAACTATGTGCATTAAGACATGAGCCCTGAGACCCATAAGAATAAATACATAACAGGGCTCACGTCATAATGCACATAGTTCTACTTGATAGAAATACGTCCAATGGAGAACTTGCATGCAAATTTTGTATTGCTTCATCTGAAAATGCTTAAAGAGCCGATTTCGCAGTATTTTTTATAATTTTTTCCTGATATGGGAAATAGTATAAAAATAGATTTAAAACTAAGAAAATGCACCGCCTAGTGACGTCATCTGGCGGCATTTCCCATTTGAACACACATATTTCAGCAGATTACATCATTTTGTCATATCTTCTCAAATAATTGTTCAATTCATGAACCAAAGGTATCCTCATGTTCAGTTCACTTGTTAGTTTCCACTTATACACTAAATTCGTCAAATTTCAGACACCTGCAAATTGAATAAATCACTCTGGATGATTTGAATTCATAGGTTGGCTGCTCTATTATGCCTAAAATCCCCATGACCTTACTTTAAAGTTACCGACATGCCTTTACCCTCCCCACAAAGATACTCTACTGCTCTTCGTGGTCTACATGCGACAAATGAAGTGGCAACACAGCTATCATGTGTTGTGAATCCACCCACACACATACACAGACACTAAACGAGGGGAATCGATAGGTTGAAAAAGCGTTTAGCTTGACGATCGGGATTTGGCTTCGGATGCCGTTAACTTCATGACTTCATTCCTGGCAGACGCGGCTCCTGATTGGCTCAACGGCTCACTGTCAGATTCGGGCCTTTCATCGTGACGCGTATTGAATTATCGCGTGAGAAATTCCCACGCTTAGAGCGGCGACTGCGTGATCCGCACGGAAGTAAAGGATCGCGCTTTGGTTGCTGAGAAACTTCAGAGAGGGTTGCACCAAGATTAAAGAAATCTATTATGTAAACAAAAAAGTGAAGCTGAAAATATACGAAATTCCGAACGCAAAATATATGTATATTCGATTAGTCAACTCGAACGCCTAAGTTTTGCGTTTGGATTCACTTCTAGATGCTTCAGCCGGCTGATTAATGAAATCGATGGAAAAAGCGTTGGACAAAGAAGACACGGGGAGTCCTGGGCGACTCTATTGGTTTTAATTAGTGGTTCCTGTGGACTCAGAGAGAAAATGATGGACTAACTACGTGCCAACAACCTGCGTCCACAGACAAGTTCACCCCACATACCTCTTGTCTTTTTTGTCGATAGATTTGTCTTCCTATTTCAATAATCGGCCTGTAGGTTTTAAAAGTAAGATTTTTTGAGAATAGACATCTAAACCTCGCAGGTTCACGACGTCAGCTAACGCGTGAAACGTATGTACATTTTTCATGCCTTTCTATCGCTTCACCGCAAATTCTGAAATTCTCTTTCTACATATAGATATAGAGAAGAGGAACCTTGCAAAACCTTTTTTTTTACCGGAACTGGATTTATGGATCTTAATGCCTGATACTTACTCCAAAAATCAAATAAAAAACCTGAATAAATCGTTAAGAGGAAGAGTTTAGACAAGGCTACAATGTTCGCGGCATAAAACAAGAGCTGCTTCAACCACGCGCCCTACAAAAACTGCAGCGTTTGTTCAGCGTCGCTCGAGATGCTGCTAAATTTACGAGTGGCGAGGCCTGAATGATCGATCTTCAATATTTTCCCATTTGAAGCTACGGAAAAGAATCGATTATTACGGCGTTCGTTGTAACCACACTGTTTATCAATCCTTTTCTAGAGGTTTAAATCGCTAATCAATCGATAAATCGTAAAGCACGCCACGCTACTGAAATTTACGACTTCATCAAAACAGCTCGGGACGGGGGTCAAGAACTTGGTCCACTGCAGTCTCGAGTTCTTAAACTGGTGTTTGGATGCATTTTTACGGCGAAAAGATTGGATATTAGTGAATAAATGAAATTTTGAGCTGCAGCCAAAATTGGCTGGAGTTTTGATTCTCTACTAAGTGAGGCGACTTGGCCGACAGCCTTGATATCGCACATCGGTAATGACACTCAAGAAAAATGTATAAATGCACGGTCTCAAAAATTGCTCCCGATTTGCTGCATGCAGGGAAACAGGCAGTGCTGTGCTGCCGTATTTATTTTCTTGGGAGCATTTGTCTCGCCTTATGATTGGACTACATTTCGCAAATAAGAGCAAAAATTCCTGGATCAGTTTAGAAACAACGTAAGTATGATTTAATTTCCCTATGCACACAAGTGTTTTTCCTAGTCCCTGCACTGTTTCCTGCGCTGAACTCGCAGCCAACTGTATCAAAATCAACACAAAATTTGTGTTGATTCGTGTTTCACTTCCTATATTAACCAAAAGTAACACAAGAACACAAATGTTTTTATCAGTGTACCTACTTATGTTCCAAACGTTCTTTCCGAACGGCACACAGCCAGCAAACGAAAGCTCATGATAAACGGAGGTGGTAGATGAGAGATCGACTTTCCATATTCAGGGTTGCCACAGAATTTAGAAAATGAAATTCCTTGACATTTCTCTGATTTCCCTGACACATTTTGGTGGAATTCCCTGATAATTGAAGATGAGACGGATGGTTAAGAAGGCATAATTGAAAATAGTTTTCAGGCAAAATTTGTTGTTGGAAACCTCAAACCCATTCTAAAAAGAAACTGAGGGTGATTTAACAAATTTTCCCTGACATTTTTGTCATTTTCCCTGACATTTCCCGGTTTTCCTTGACTGTGGCAACCCTGGATATTGCATTAGAAAACAGTACCTACCTCGAGCATGGACTAACTTTGGGAGTTGAACGACGAGATGGCGAGAAAATGGCATGCTGGTAAGTTGGAGGCGAGTGCTGACTTTCCGGGACGTCAGCCCGTGTTTGGAATGATGACATTAGCGGCGTTTAGCGTGGAGTGATGGTGTTGTTCACACTTTGCACCTCGGCACCTCGCGACGCTAACCGTCTTTTATCACCCGGACTCACGCAATCAACACTCAACTTCCGTCCATTTGAACCGGCACTCGGAGAAAAAGGGGCAAATGAGTTCCGGTCAAAAGCCAAATGAAATACTCAACTTTTATTTGGTAGATATACAGGGTGTCTACGCCGTCGGACGGCGAGAGTCTGACATGTATGAAATTTCACATAATTTTTCAATTTCAATGAAATTTCAAGAGGCCTCATACTTTTCATAATATAAACAACAATATTCGAAGCGCAGGGTGTCTACTAAAACAGGCTGGCCAAAAATCAATACTTTTTCAGTGCATCCCTGAGAAATTCAGTACCTCCTCAACGGAAAAATGCAGAACTTTTTTAGTGCCTCCAGTTGACGAAATTTGAAAAAATTCAAAAATTCAAATTCCCCTCTCAAACTGCGACAAAAATGAAAAATTCCGGACCTCAACGGAATTTCCGCACTTTTTCAGTGCTTCCGGACCGCTCTTAAAAAATCTGTACTATTTCTGAAACTTTCCGGAAATTTCGGACTTGCAGACACCCTGAAGCGGCAACCACTCACTCAAAGTATGCGCAGGGAGGTCTATGCGTTCAAAACTTTAAAAATTGTTTTCATGGGCCTTATAATTTAGAAGAGAAAATTAATCAACATTGCAAATCACAGGAATAAAATAATTCCAGAAATCCCTATGCAGGAGAAAATAAAATATGGCAGGGGAGAGGGAAGGGGGGGAGAGGGTTGCGCTCTGGGCGCTCATCCACTTAAATCAGGCCCTGTCTAGAATACATTTAAACCGATCAAAAAATTGTGACTAAAGCGAATCTTAGGGTTTTCTGATTACAATTTCAGACAAAGTAGTCTTCCTCCATTAAGGGGAGGTAGCGTTAGTTTGGAGGTCCGGTATGCTTCAAAAGAAAGAGACCATAACCTAAAATCGTAATAATTATTAGCATTACTCATTTCTGACATAAATGTCAAATAAAACTGTGTCTGGGGCTAAAAAAACAAAAAGTTTGTGATTTCCTTTGTTCCTAACAATGTTTCCAACATTTCATCAATTTTTCACAAAAATACATACGCTTCATGAAATTCCACGTGAAATTTCAAAATCATATTTTTCATGAAATATTCTATTCAGAGTATCTGCCACTGATAGACTCGCTCCGTTTCCTCCTTGCCCTCTTTGTCAGTGGCGTGGCGTGCTTCGATATACATCGATAGTTCCCCATTTGAAGCTATGACAAAAAATCGATTTTTAAAGTGTTCGTAACGAACGCCCTGTTTTTCGATCATTTTCGATGGGTTTAAATGGCATAAAAATAGATATAAGTATAGCAATTCAAGCCACGCCACTGCTCTTTAACATCGCTTTGTCCATCGATGTCAGAGTCTTTGTCTTTGTCTATCGATTACAGAGTGATTATAGTGAAACTTTACCTGATGCAGTAACTCGGCTGAGGAGTCGTGAGGCTGTAGTTCTGACGACATCGATGTTTTCAGACGGTTTCTGACCACACTGACGGAGCCGATGGACAAGGCCGTCCACCACTGCATCCTCCGTCATCATTGACTCCTTCTTACTCGATTTCTGAAACACGCAAAACGAATTTTGTGGGTACTGCTTCCTTTCGACGAGAGGAGAGAAGAAAAGGGCATGAAAGAAGGGGCAAGAAATAAAGAGCCAGAGAGCAGGGGTCGATAAAGTTCCCTGCTTACCACAAGTTCGTACGAGCCAAAAAAGTGTTTCCATAAACAGTTTACTTTTTTTTTTTGGAAGGGGGAGGGAGGGGGGTTATGTAGGTAGGCCAGGCTTCTCGGTCGACTGGTGCTGCTATAGTTTCAAGGTTTGAAAATAGGTGAATTTTAAGTTATTTAACCATTAGATGCCCAAGCCGAGTCAAATTCAAGCAGAGGTTTCTAAAAACACATGACCTGCGGGTTGTATGAGACCGGTACGTGCGATCTTTAGATATAGGTAAAAGGTCTAAATACACATCGTAAAAAAGAATCAAACTTCAACTTAAAAACAAGCTGCTGGTTCCAACACTACTGTGTTGGAGAGCTCGCCTTTGGGAAACTATTAACAACTATTAATGCTTTTTTCTGAAATTGTATATGTATTAAATGAATCTTTACCCAATTATCAGAGGTTACATGCCGATGCAAAATGTTATGACGTAATTTCATATGACAAATTTTTCACATTACAATAAATAAAGAGAAATAAAGAGAGAGAAATGGAATTATCTTTTATGAATGTGATTTTGCGGCAAATGTTGCAATGGCTATTTTTGCCATCGCATTTTTGTTTCTGGCTTTCATCGTTGATAAGCTTTTTCTTAACTTGTCAACAATGTAATGAAATCATATGATTTAATTTTAATTTTTTTTTTAAAATCAAGTCGCCAGCTTGAATTAAGGTTATACTTTGTTAAGCTGGCAGTCTGGAATTCTGAATTTTTATCGGCACAGAGTTCAAAGAAACTATAATTTAGCACGGTTTGGAGGAACGTTTCTGCCATAATTCTTACACAATACTTATGGTATACACTAAGAGCTGAAAAGGAATTCACTTGAATTTTAGCGTGGAGCTCGAGAGACCACTTCAAGCCTTTGTATGCGAGTGGCTCAATGGAGCACATCACGCCTTTGTAGGTATGGGGTGGCTCAATGGAGCACCTCGCGCACTATAAATAGCACGGAGCTCGAAAGAGCACTTCATGCATCTGTATTTTAAGGTTAAAACGAACTCTAAAGAAACTCAATGCGAGGCTCAAACGAATTCTCAAGCATTCTAAATGCGAGGCTCAAACGAATTCCCAAGCATTCTTGATGCGAGGGGCTCAAACGAATCCTAAAGCATTCTTAATATGAGGTTTAAACAAACTCTGAAAGGATCCCAATGCGAGTCTCAACCGAGCTCTCAAGCATGCAATTATTTTGAGGTTAATTAACCTTCTATGGTACCAATAACGGCAATCTTAAGGATTATCCATTAATTATGCGCAAATCTCAATCTTAGTCTTAGTAACTTAAAATTAATTGAACAAATTATTAAATCACGTCGAGGTCACCATGTTTTTTATTTTAAGAAATAATAACAATTGCAAGTACAACTGCACACAAAAACTGCATTGAAAAGATAAGAGGATGATAACATACAATTAGGTTATTTGATATAAAACCATAGCAACATGCTATGATATGCTCGGCCACTGGAAAGTGCTGCTCTCTAGTGTAGCAAACGAGGAACAATTAATCCTCAGTTGAATGAGGGAACGGAAATGTTCGACGGAGGAAAACTGTAACCCGCGAAAATTCAACTTTTAGACCTTGAAATCAATGGGATTTTGGCCGTTCCTCCGACGGCAACGAGAACCATCCATTCGTCGCCACGGACACTACCAATGCTAAAAGAAATCGATCGCAAAGAGCTCTCCCGAGTGGGCGAGCTCAAAAAGAAAACAAAATCGAGTGTGTCAGAGAATTTTTTATAAGCAAAAACCTACAAATAGGAAATATAGAGCGGATCATTTCGAGTTCATGCCTAGCGCTATCGCGCCTTCAATTTTGCAGATGCTACACGGACATCTATCAAGCACGAATAGTTGTATCTCTGCGCCTTCATTGACGAGCATTCTTTCCCATGCTCTGTTTCCATCGTGCGTTGGTTCGGTTTGTATTATTTTTAAAGTGGTTTACGGTCTCGTATAAAATGCAAAAGGAAAGGTTTTTGAAATATTGGATTTCCGCTCATATTAAAAGTAGGTACTGATTCAAAGATCATTTTCTCGAAAACTTTTTGGCACCAAGTCTCTAGAAATGAGAAAAAGCGATGATTCGACTAGAAATTACAATTTCAAAGTTCCGCAAGAAAAATACTCAATTATTCACAAATTTTTAAGAATTTGTCACCCTGTCTATAATTTTTTTCAGAATTTCTAGAATTTCTTCATTTTGTGAGTCCCTGACTTTCTGACTTTCTTGCTCTTCTCTGACTCCAAAATTTATGAATTCCCTGACCTGTGAACACAATTTCCACTGAGATTTTTTCCTTTTAATTATGCTGACTGTTTGCAGGCTGCTAAACGCTGTTCGCGTACTTTCCTGACTTTGATTTTTCAAGGTTGCCGTAAATTATCTAGCTTCCCCTAATTTACCAGACTGTCGAAAACCCAGATATTTTATCTTTGAAAAAAGTTTCGTGCGAAATTATTCAGAAATTTATTAAATCCAATGACTTGACTGGAACTAAAGAAATCAAGGTTCCGCGGGGAAATTCTCTGATTTTTCCCGCTTTTCCTACCTTTTCAAGAGCTTGTCACCCTCACTGGAAAAAAAAAACACATTGGATCTAGAGTCCAGACTCTTGAAAACATTGACAAGAAAAAATACTCTTGATTTAATCGGATTTTTAATCGAATCAAAACGGAATCCGCTTAAATTAAGAGGCTTGGTTCTTGATTTAAGCTAGATTCTGATTAAATCAAGAGTACTTTTTTTTGTCGATGTTTTTAAGAGTCTGGACTCTAGATCCAATGTGTTTTTTTTTTTTTTTTTTTTTTTTTTTTCATTTAACTAATAATCAATAAGGTTAAAATTGATTTTTTTTTTTTTTTTTTTTTTTTTTTTCAGTGCAGTTCATTATAGAGTGAATATATAGGTAGCAGAGGCGTGGCGTGAATTGCGATGTATCGATTGTTACGCCATTTAAACCTATGACAAAGAATCGATTATGAAAAAGTTCGCTGCGAACACCCTGTTTATCGATCCTTTTCCATAGGTTTGAATGACATGACAATCGATATATCTCAATTCACGCCACACCACTGATAGGTAGAGTATGGACATGTCGAGATGTAGAGCTCTTAGGGCCGAAAAGGGCAGCCAACCTTCTGACACAAAAAATGTCCCTCCAACTCTTCAGATTCCAATATCAAATCATTTATGTATCGTAGATCAAACCATGCATTGACAAAATCTTGATGTTGAAAGCATTTGTTGAAAATTAGCCGACCGGATGGAACCTGGATCACATTGTGATAGTCCAATGCGCTAGTCAATCGCAAAGAGCAACCAACTTTCTAAAACCAAATATGTCACTGCCGATCTTCAGATTCCGATTTCAAACCAAGATGGTCAAGAATATTCATAAATGAACCCTCTTCCACAAAAATGAGTGACTTTATGCAAAAACTAAGGCAAATTGTGTCAAATAGTAGTCAATAGTTTTTCTGCTCAAAATCAGGAGTCGCCTATAGCGTTCCCTACCAGATTTGAAAAAAAAAGGAATGAAAATCCATTCCTTTGGATGCTCTTCTTTGTACCACATTTTGCGATTTGTAACTGAAATATCTGGCTCAGTTTGGAAGCAACGTATGTACCATTAGTTTCTCTGTGTACACATGTGTTTTCGCGGATAAGTCAGAAATTGCAGTTGCTAATTACTCTAGATTTTTCTAACTTTTCAAGAGAATTTAGAAAATGAAATTCCCTGACACATTTTGGTGGAATTCCCTGACAATTGAAGATATGACGGATGGTTAAGGTGGCATAATTGAAAATAGTTTTTAGGCAAAATTTGTTGTCCGAAATTTCAAACCCATTCTAGAAAGCAAATAGGTGATATAACACATATTCCCCGACATTTTCGTCATTATCGTCATTTTCCCTGATATTTCCCGGTTTTCGCTAACTGTGACAACCCTGAAGAACTTGTTACCCTGTTTATTACTTTCTCGGGGAAAACTCGTCAAAATTCATGGGGAATGGAGCGCGGACCTACCGTGGAGTTGGCGTGGTGGATCTTGCGACCGAAAACGCCGATCATGGCTTGACTGCCGAGTGGGGGCGGAGTGGCACTTGCCCTCGGGGCTGCCGCGCGCGGGAAAACCGAACGGAAAACGAGGGATGAGCACCGCGCACTCACACTCACAAACACCCGCGCTCCACCGCAGCTCGACCAACGACTGAAGCCGGCCCGGCCCGGCCCGGCGCTGCCCCCCACCCCCCACCCTCCGCAAATCCCCCTTCNNNAGCGGGGAAATAGAGCGCGCGCCGCGCGCCACCCGCCAACAAGGTTCCCAGTTGGACGTCTTTCTGCCAATCAGAACTATGTGCACTAAGACATGAGCCCTGAGACCCATAAAATATATGCATACCAGGGCTCACGCCATAATGCACTTAGTTCCGTTTGGCACAATTATGTCCAGTTGACGATGGGGAGGCGTCGAATGTAGCCTGCACAGCGGGCTGATTATTGAAATTGATTGACAAAGCTATAGACAAAGAAGACGAAAGAGATATGGAGGGATCCTATTGGTGGAAACGGGTGCTTGCAATGGTCAAATGAGGTAGGTAATAGACTAACGGCAACCCACGAGAGACCCTGTAGTTAGCCCATCATTTTCTCCCTTAGTCTACAGGAACCACCCATTTCAACCAGGGTTCCCAGGTGAAATTTTCAAATATCAGCACTGAGCGTCGAAAAATTTCAGCACATTGCCCTAAAAAATCAGCACATTTTAAATGCTTTAAAAAACACAAGTTTTAATATAATAGAGGCTTAACGGTTCCCGTGATCTTCAACTGCATGGTAGTAGCCCTTTGAGGCTCAAGATTCGACACATTTTGACAGATTTTACCCTCACCATACCACAAAATGGCTGCGCCCTGATTGAGAATATTCGGTTTGTGTATGAGGCAGCCCTGTCATTCCTCAGCGGCGCTAAATTTAAATTTGGCTCCCTGACTCGGAAGAGAAATATAGAGCATAATTCAGTTAAGTTAAAGGAATATTGACTTTCACTATTTCCAGCAGAACTGGTCTCACAGTATTGCAAGTAAAAACATTTAAGTCATGACTCAATATTTGGTCTCAAAATACCATAGTTAATGTCTTTTTCTCATGCCATTAAGTCCCTTTTAAGTTTTTGACTTAAGAACTTTTTGAAATCTCTTGAAATCTATGACCACTGTACCTCTCTAAGACAATAATGAGTTTTTAAATCTTAACGAAAGTCCATACTACATAAATCAAACATTACCTAAAGGAAAGAGGAGAAGAAAAGCAAATTTATTCTGTAAAACGGAACGGAGCGATTTTGGAATTGCCGAATTGGTGAGGTTATGTTGCTTTCCCTCCATTTCAACAATGTGCAATGTGGCCTCAGTTGCCAGAGCTGACTTTCCCTCCGTTGCGTGCTGACAAAGAGGTGCCGATGATCAGTGAAAGTGGAGCGCGGGTTTACAGGATTTAATACCCATGTTTTTGAGTTTCCGAGGGCTTGCAGCAGAAAATTCAGCACAAAGTCAGCACAAAATTTAATTCACACACTTTTTCACACAAATTTCTGAAAATCAGCACTTTTGCTGAAATTTCAGCACACCTGGGAACCCTGATTTCAACCAATAAAATAGCTCCATACTCCTTTTGTCCTTATTGTCTATCGCTTTGGCTATCAATTTCAATGATCAGCCCGCAGGAGCGTGTTGTGATGGTCCAATACGCTAGCGACTCGCAAGTCGCAACCTTTGAAGTCGCGCAAGACTGTCAATTTCAATAATCGGTCCGCAGAGTGACTTAAGGGTGATTTCACGATAATAGGCATAGTCGTGTCGCCGTGGGTTCTGAACGACATAGGGCAAAACGATTGAAAACCAAATTAATTAATCAATAGGAATGATGTCCCTGAACCTATCCATGCTAAAAAATATGATGAATTATTATTATATTTAATAATATGAGACTTTAAAGGCCGAAAATGTCCGGTCGGTTACGCGTCGCCAACCCCGATTTTGAAGCAAAAGAGCAATTTGCGGTAACATGTCAGTACTGATCATGAACTCTTTGGCAATATTTGCTGAAAAGAGACTCTAGTGTTCAAGAAAATTGCCAGTTTGAACTGAAATGTTTATTATTGAGCGAGAAAAGTCATAAGAAAGAGATGTCGCCACATTTGGCAACAAATTTTTGCAGTTGTATTAAGTGCAGTGTTTATCTCGCCAGATGGAGTCAGGAGTTTCAAAACTGCCATCAAATTGTTCGCTGAAGTCTTCTTGACAAAACCATTACTGATAAGTCAGTTTTTTTTACAATGAAAACTTAAATTATTATGAAAACCAGTGATTTTTACGTGTGTAACACTAATTCCTCACTACGCAAAAACCTCAATTTAATAGTATTAAACTTAAACGAAGTCTCCAAAGTCTAGAAAACTTTTAAGGCAGCATTAATTCCACCTCATAACTCAAGAATTGCCAAGTTTCATCTTTTGTATCATCTTTAATCTCACATTTTTGAGTGTCGGTTACGCTGTGTCTGTTACGTAACCGACACAATTTGGCAGGGCCGCCATGTTTGCGTGGACCTCCAGCAGTCCCGCGGGAAGCGCTGATACCTGATTTAATGGCTTGTTTATCAATCAATTTACTTTGCACTGAATCAAAATAGAGCGTGCCAAAGCTGGAAAAAGGAAGTTTAATACCTTTAGAATGAGGTAATGAAATCCTGTTAAAATTGGTGCACTTTTATTTCTCAGGTATTTCATATTTTAACTATTCCTGTTATCGTGAAATCACCCTTAAAATGAAAGAGATTCACGGAGGATTGGAAATCTCTGTCAAGTATTTCGTGAAATTCCACGCGGCTGCGAAATTTGTGACAAGTATGAAACATTCATTTTACCCAAGTATTTTTGTACTTCTTACCCCATTCACTGTCGGGGTCGAAGATGAAAACTTGGGGGTTCTGGATTCGATCGACATGAATGGATCTAAAAATGGAAACGCGAATTTATCAACGAGAATCGATCGATGACCGTGAGTCGATTGACACTCCTTAAATCGTTCGACAAATCTGTGAACCACCCACAGAACTGTGGATCGATCGACAAACCCGTGAATCGATCGACACCAATTCGATCGACAAAATTCGATCGATTGACAGGTTTGTCAATCGAATCAGTGTCTTTTGGGCCATGTCGATTAAATCACGTCGATCGGTTCACTTTATATAATTATTCGATCGATTTATTTCGATCGAATCCATACCCTCCTAAAAATTGCATGACATTTTAAGAAAGGAGATGTTTCGATACGGGTCGATCTTGGGACCACTCTCAATTTCCTCAACTCAACGATTTTTTGCTCATTGGAGGTCTATATTGTACAGAATGCATCATTACTCGGTCATTTTTTGTCTCTTTTTGGGTCTAATTGGCGGAAAAATTGGATTTGGTGGCTTTGAGGTCGAATGCCGAAAAATCCGCATATTCCTCCAAAATCAGCCTTCGCTTTCAGATTCATGTTCAGACGAGTATTAGACCTGATAGGAGACCGGAAATAACCAAATCATGATGCATTCCGTAAAAGATAAACCGCCAACGAGCGAAAATCGTGGAGTCGAGGAAATTCAATGTGAACCCAAAAACGGTTCTTTCGATAATTGTTTTAAAAGTTTGCCATGGACTCATTTTCAGTATGCCGTGAAATGCCTAAAGACAGTGAAATCTTAATTTTGAAATTTTGAGGGGGGAAAATCGCGAGTCTCAGTTTGAGGTTCCTCGTCGGATTCTTGGATAGGTAATTGGTGAGGGTTGCGTACGCAGCGCCTGCAAAATTGCTGAAATGTCATAGAAAGAGAAACCTCACTTTCCATGCAGCCAAGTATTTTCATGCGGTGAAATTTAATTTTGCATCTCTGTCAGGGTTAAGAGAGAACAGAGTAAGAAGAAAAAAATATATCAGTATATTTCTATTTCTTTCTAGGTATTAATAATTTAAAAGAAACTACCCGCATCCATTTGAAGGAGCTGCTAAGTAGGAGTGCAAAGTGCATTACGGTGCAACAAAACAGGCTTGCCATTTTCTTGTAAATTCCCCGAGGATTCTCTGTTTTCCAACAGCTCATGATGAAAGAAATCCGGAGGTAATGGTGACGTGAATAATGCTGCGCAGGTGTAGGTAACACATTTAATCTGCCGTGCTCAGGAAAAACACTGTATGAGCCTTCAGGCGTCACCAACTTTCCTTTGATAAATCACGAATTTTCGGGGAGATTTGTGAAAGTTTTTCCTCCAATTTTTCAGATATTTTAGAATAAACTGGGAACAGAATTATCTGAAAATTTTGTCGCAGAAGATTCAGAATTTTCCCAGTAAATTCGTTTTTTATCGAAGGAAATCTTGCAACGTCTAAAGGCTCATACGGCGTTCTTCCATACTGCCGTGCTATGGAAGAAAGGGCCGGATTTAGCTACTTGCCTTCATAGGCCGCCTGTATTTTGCCGTCCCTTCTCATTCATTTTGAAACATCGATACAAACCATCAAGTGAACGTGCCGGAGGAGGAGCACTAGGAGCAGTGCATAAAACGCGTTTACTCGTATTGGGCACATTTTTTATGAAAGCCCTGTCAACACTAGAAAAAGTTCACGGTACTTTGCGCGAAAATTAAGCTCCGTAATCATATCTCTGTGTGAACGAGGCCTTTCATCAATAGGAAAAGAACGAAAAAATTATGAAAGAATAAACATGAATGTGGTTTAATGATTTTAATTTCCGCCACCGCGCCAACCGCACTGTGTTTAGCGCAATGCGTGAAGTATTCTTACAGTCTTGTATAGGCGCTATGCGTTTCACGTTGACCGCTGCTGAACGCACTGTGTTTGACGCAATGCGTGAAGTATTCATGCAGTCTTGTGCTCTTGTAGGCGCTAATATGTGTTACATGCCGACCGCCGCGCCGCGTCGCGACAGGGACTTCTCTTTTTCATCTCAAGTTCTCGTTATCATTGCTCTCTGCGCCGCGCCGTTCCAGGCAAAATCGCGTGTTTGGTTTCTCTCTTAACTCGACTAATTAAAGGTGCTGTCTCTTGTATCACCGGAAGTCGACGAAATTAGAAATCACTATACTCTCAGGAAATGAGAGATTTTGTCGCCTTTTCTCGTTAGTAATTTTTTTTCCTGAATTCGATTGCTTTTTTATACCTACATTTAAAACAATTGCAAAATTTACCGCTCCTAAATCCGACCCTGTAGATGCCTCTGCGGGATCAAATTGACCCGCGGCTTTCGCAGCATGGAGCGGAACATTGTAAGTTCACGTCTCGCCATCGCGCCTTCAGTTTTGCAGATACGACACGGACATCCATCAAGCACGAATAGTTGTATCCCTGCGCCGTCATCGACGCGCACCCTCTCCCTTGCTCTATTCCCATACTATGTTTGTTCCCGTTTGTCTCATTTGACGTGGAGGTTCAAGGACTACGTTACTAACGTGAGTAACACAGCTGAAGATGGGAGATACGTAATCAGACTCGTTTTTTAACTTTCCTCCCAAATCGTGCGATACCTCATTGGCAGCATTAAGTGAAGCATTGCGCATTCACGCCTCGCGCCTTCAATTTTGCAGATGCAACACGGACATCCATCAAGCACGAATAGTCGTATCTCGGCGCCGTCATCAAGGCGCGTTAATTGCGGTGTCTCTCATTTTCGAAGTTTGAGAAAAGTTGAGGTTAATTTTGCTCAAAATATGCTGTGATATATTCTCGTTAATAATAATAATTTTGAAAAAAAAAAGATACCTAAATTAAATAATAAGAGAAAAAAATGTTTCAGTACAAGCTACTCAAGCGCCCTTAAGGGCAAACGAGCGCACGTCGAAATATTGGTATTTTGGCGGGAGTATTGTTGTCTCAGGCGTAGAATAAATGGACTACGTCAACAGAAGTGAAAGCTCCATAAGAACCAATTTTAACATTTTTTTTCCCAGGGTTGGTCAATCTTTTTACTTAATGAAACCTGATTTGAGGCTAACTTACGATTATAAAATTGGAACGAAACATGAAATTTTAGGCTACTGTACAGTACTTTAACGGTAATTAAGTGTAAAAAATTCCTTACAGTTCCTAAAAACGTCTGTGCCCGTTATTATTTGGCCTCTCCAGAATGTCAACATGCTACAGACGCAAACAGTCTTATTGACTCAGTTTCGCTTCGATAACATAAAAATGGCGGTGGCTTCTGCTTCTGTTGACGTAGTCTATTTATTCTGTCTCAGGGAGGTTCTTTTTCTGTTTGTGACTACTTTTAGAAATCCCAAGCCGAGAGTGAAAAAGCGCCTGTGCGTTACCAAAATGGTGAAAATTTCAAAAAAAAGTATTTCTTATCTCCTTAAATGTACAGACAAAAAAATTACTCAAATAAGACTTCAAAAGGTGTAAAAATAAATGCGTTAACATACGGGTAAATTTATGACCCCACTTGGGGCTTTGCATAAAAAAAATTTGTAGGCATCTAAGGGTTAAAAGAAGACAAAGCATCCTGGAAAAGACAAATTAAACTCTGGCAAGACAGTTTGTAAGAAGATGAAGTCGTCAAAAAAAAGAAGAGATGAGCTTAAGACTTTTAAGTATATTCTTACCTTATAGTACAACACTGGAGGCACCGAGGAAGTAAAGCAGAAAAATGTGGCAATACTGAGATAAGATACACTGAGGAACGATGTAAGGCTTGAAACAAGAAACGAACGGATCCTCAAGCCGAACTGACACTTGCACACCCTTCCGCAACACCACTTTCACAAGAAATTTTGGTAGTATTCATGATGTTAGGGAGCCGTTGCGAATACGAACCAGTTCAAAAACTTTTGTAGCTTTTGAAATACTGGCGCTTGCTTCAGAACACTTAGAAATATTATTTTAGTTTTGAAGAGGGACAATCCTTGATGGTGTTATGTCAACTCTGCAAACAGGGCACCTCTGATTGCCTTGCACCCAATCCAGAATACAGTTCCAACAAAATAAATGCCCACACAAAGTTGCACTAGGCTGCCTCAAGTCATCCATACATAGAGGACATTTATACTTGATGACTGAGTATGCATTTTCAGAGTTCTCAGCTGCAACTCTCTTCTGACTTTGCCACCACTGTTTAGTATTAAAAACAGCCTGAAGAAAAATGTGCAAAACAGCAGTGAAACCCAATACTTTGAAACCGTACAAAGGCTGATCCTCTCTTAACCAACGGTGAACCAGAACATAGTGTATTCCAGTGATCCGCTTGGGAAAGTCGTAAAAGTTACCAGTGAAGTAAAATAGAGCCTTGTGAGATAGGAGAACAAGTGGCAGAATACTCTCTAGGAAATCCAAAGATTGTGCGAGAGTGACCTTCGCCTCAGGACGGATGTTGGGGTTTTTGTTCACAAACTGTCGTACGTATTTGAGTAGATATAAAATGAAAAAACTGCCGACAGCTTTGGCAGTGACCATTAGCAGTCTACGAAAAGGAGAAGGTACGGCCCGTAGTTCAGATGTCACTTGCACAATCCCGGTGTATTCTTCGCCTAAAGTTTGGAGTCCTGACAGAGTGGTTACGAAGCTATACAAGAAATCTGCCAATAGTGGAATGTAATCATGATACCGCAAGAATGATCGAGATCCCAGGGCTTTGTAGACGAGATCGTTGAGGCTTGAATTGATGTTTCTTTTGATTAAATCGTCTTTTTGAGCTGCCCGCAAGATTTCGGCCGGGCGTGCTCTAGAAAAAACGGGCATTTCCGATGTAAGAGGAACTTGTTGATGAGATCACCCCGAAAGCGCGCGACAAACACATTAGCTGTTGTACGAAACAATATGTAGACACATAATAAAATTACAAGTTGTCCTCGAAATTCACAGAGTACGCGAGAAACTTTCCACATGAAAGTTTGGAACTTCTACCAAGACATGACTTTCCTGGCGGAAAAGCGCGTGATAAGCGTAACAGCTACAGCTGACACATCAAAACAAAAACACCAATATGTATGTTGTCAAATGTAATGATGTAATAATTAATTTACGCAGAATAGTATATATTCATCCATGATATCAGGCAAATGTGTTCTCGCTTTTCATCGACCATCCTTCAAGCTAAAAACCGTTGCTTTTAGGGTGTTTTCTGTGGAGTTTCGTCATACAAGTTTCAGAGTGCTATCTGCAATGTTTTGAGCTCGTGAAACGTAAATCACTTGTAGGCTTTTGGCCTTCTAGCCGAGTTTGAAGCTCTTGAAATGTACCGATTGTATAATTCCTTCATTTGACTAAAACATCTGGCTAGTTCTCAGTACGCGAGATCTTTTCGAGTTTCATCTTAATTTCAACAGTTTGAAGGGACGTAAGGTTTCCTGTGTGCCCCATGTGTCCCCTGTTGTCTAATGTTGGCCTCTAAATTCATGTCATAACTCAAGAAAACCTTTTTGCGAATCTCCACTTAGTTCTGAACCATGGCTTCATTCCAGGTACCACCTTCAACTTGAATATTGATATTTCATAGAGCGTAAGCTTGTAAATAATCCTACTTGCAGGCACCATCTTTAGCAGTGTTACATCACTGACAGGATTGCACCGTTCCTTCGTTTCAAGCGAGACTGCGCGAGCTCTGTGTTTGCCCAGAATTAAAAGATTTTTCCTCATTACCCATTGAAGGTTTTAATTTTCCTAGACATCTGGTTTGCCAGCTTCAGTCATTACTCCTGTTATCAGCAGCAGTTCAACCGAGGTCATACAATCACAAGGGCTTTTTTTCTTATCGCGGATCAGGGTGAATTGCAATGGAATGCACTGGATCAGAATCCTGAGCGATCCGGACCGATCCACAGTGTTCCAAGTGATAAAAAAATCCTAACTTGGAGTTTGGTTAGATTTGTTATTGTTTTGATTTGTTAGGGACGGCAACTTCCTCGCATTAGGTTAGGATCATAATAGTGGATCGTGAGTACAGTCCACAGGAAAGCTGAGGAAGAATGCATTTGCATGTGGCTTACGTAGAGCATGAATTTTCAGGTGTACAGGTACTGAGAATCCTCGACTGTGGCCTAATTGCTCTGCTATTGAATTTACCTTTGCTTGCTCACCACCGCCTGTAAATTTCAGGCTCCATTTCGTTGATTTAGGACCTCAACTAAAATGGTTTGATATCCAGCAGTAAAAGGTAGGGCATCAAAACGTCACATGGTTGAAAAGTTAAGCTCGATTTCCAATGAGACGAGGTTTTAGGTAGGACTTTTAAGGTGTCTTTGGAGTCCTGTACTTCGCACTGATTCTTTCTAATTCCTCATATCCCGGTATATTTCTTTTTTCAGTTTGGATATCAAATTTCTCAACTCGGCTCTCTTGTTTTGTCATCTAACCGTTCCTCCCGGTGTATGCCATGGCAGAAATCCAACATTGAAGCCCGAGTTCCATCTAAAATGACGCCTGCCAAAGCCAGAAAGACCCTGTTCGAGGTAAGTGTCTCAAAATCCGCAATAAGAGTCAGAGTTACCCATAACACTTAAGTTACAAGATCTTTTCCAGTTGAGACTTTCAATTTTTCCTGTGTTGGATTTTATCTGATTAATTTTGTTTGCGGTTAGAGTAAAAAATATGGAAGTATGATGAAAAGCAAAGGAACAAGAAATAGAAATCAGTTAACTAAAAAAAAGAGAGCAAGCAGAGGCCTCCTATGGCGTAGTAGTTGTAGCGCCAGCTCCATGAACAGAAGGTCTTGGGTCCGATTCCTAGCCAGGCGACCCGAGTTTAATGGTCTCAATCAATGGTTGCGTTGAACTGGTTGTTAGGGAAGGAAGGGGGATGGCACTAAAGCGCAGGATTAGCCCTTGTGGGCTATTTGAAGTGGTAGAAAAAAAAAAGAACAATTTGAAAATTACATTTACACTGGCTTTGTTCCTCTTCTACCTACTTTTCTTTCTGACGAAACGACATTCTGTTGTGTATAGTAATATGAAAATAATTAAAAGGCTGATCTTTTGATCTAACAATCATTTCTTTTTTGCTCAGTGTTGCTGAAACTTTTACACTCGGTGACCTGTTTTAATCTGTTGGTCTTTTATAATAGGAAGGCAGGAGGAATGGGTTTTGATGAAAATAGCTGCTTAGTGTTGCTCAGGAACAAAAATTTGAGTATTTGCAAACTTGTGGATGGGTCTAAGACAGGAGCTTAGAGAGAGAAGGTAACTTCAAATTTCGCGAGCCCAGGGATAGCACTATTTAAAGCTCAATACATGTTCAAGAAATGGTTCAAAACATTGAAAAATCAAATTTTTGGAATCGGCTCAATGAGTAGAGTAAATGTACCAAATTTCATCAAATTCTGAAACAGTCAGGTCAAAAATTGGTTTAATTTGGCATGAAATGACCCTTCACAATGTGAATGCTGGATCCCTGGTTTATTAAGCCACAGAACATGATCTAATCGTCCTATTAATTTGTACATACTTTTTTCTTCTTCTTTTAAATCAGGTTGCTAAAAACTTTCCAAATTTATTCTCAATGGGGAAGCTGACAAAAAGTGAACGGACATTAGTATCACTATTTGACCTAGAAGATGTCCCTTTAGAGAAATCGCACCTCGTCCAATCGAAGAAGCTTTTTAGAGATGTTGTATCATCCAAGGCCAAGTACAACAAATTGAAATCTGCAGTTGATTCTGCACCTCAGTACTTTGAGAATGCATACAGTGCTGAGCCAAAAGTCCTAGTAGTCGGTTCAAATGGAATTTGGAACAATGTCAGACCTATTCTTTCAAGAAGTCAAAACAATGTTCATTGTGGTATGTCTTTTCATATTTTGTTTCAATTGTACTTGTCAGCTCATGCCAAGCACAAGTACTGCTATTCACCAAAATTGTATATGTTTTATCATTTATTCATCAGGTACTGATTTTTTAGGCCCATATCTCAAGAGAAAATTTCTCTTAAAATAAAACTAGGTAGCTTATCAGTCATAAGGGAGTGAAAGATCGTCACCATCCAGCCAAAGTATCATTTTTACCAAAATTGAGTTATGAATAGTTTCGAAATCACAAGATGCATTTACATACAAAAATAATAATTTTTCCTAGAACGAAAGTGTAGAAATACAAATAAAAATCAATCAAAGTTGATGTACTTTCGTATCACAAGCGCCATTTGGGAGATAAGTATCACAAGCACCAAGTTTGGCAACCGCCCACTTTCCCGATTGTTTGCAATTTTTGTTACAGCAACCCTCAGAAATGACTTGAAGCTAAATTATATTCGTATGTAAATGCATCTCGTTATTTTGAGCCGAAGATTCGTTTTTAGAATTTAAATGAATGAACATGGAAAATACCCCGTTGAAGTTGATGAACTTTTGTATCACAAGCGCCGTATAAGAGCAAAGTATCACAGGCGCCAATTATCAAAGAAATAAATTTTATGAATGTTCAAGGCAAGAAGTTGTGCTGGATCGGTATTCCAAGTTTCAAGCCGAAACTTCGTCTGAGGCGGTTGCAAATCAGTTTTTTGTGTCTCCTGAAAAGTTGGCAAAGTGGTGCTTGTGATACTTTGGCCGGAAGGTGACGAGATATTGGTGGCCAAAGTGCAAAACCACACACTCTGTTTGCGATGTTGCAGACTCATGTCATACTACACTTTTTTTTCGGAAAACTATTCCACGTTATATCTTGAAAATTTCGTTGATTTTTCTTCTTTCTTAGCAAAATATTCAGCACAAATTACAATTTATACACTTGAATTATTTCTCCTCAAAGAAACAAAGTAGGAGCGGAAAATTTGAAGCACCACAATAAAGATGCGTAGTTTTGCACTTTGGCCATCGATTTATTGGCTGACAATGAACATGCAAAATATTTTCTGCAAGATTCTACTTGTGAAAAGTTTACAAAATGCTATGTACAAAACAATCATGAAAACAGGCTTATCTCGATATGTCTTGTTCAAAAAACTTTCTGCCGTAACTGAATGTACAATTACTAACATTTATTCCGAAAATTCTCTTCCAAACATTTATTCAAAAGTCCAGAAATCCGAACCAAGAAAATTTTTGACCATCATAAATTTGTCAGTTTTCTGACTTTGATTATAATTGAATGGTTCTAAAAATTAATTAAGAAAATATCAAACTATCTTTAAACTCAGAGATCAAAAATCTATTCAAGTACATAGTGTTACTATAACTTTCCTTCTTCTTGCAGATTTGTTAGTTCGAAACTTCAGTTCTGGCGTGAGACTAACTGTGAAGTTTAACAATTCCAAGTCCGAAAATGTATTTGTCCAAACACGATTCTTCAAGACGGATAGGACGGTACCACCCAAACCTGAAACGAACGTTCTTGACCGAATGAAAAATGCCTTAGGAATCCAGCCGACGAAAAAACAAACATCCTCTTTCTACCCTGACAAATTGTGTAAGTTTCCCTTACCTCTACCTCTCTTCATGCGTGCTTGAATAAACTCAATTTCTCTCTCATTTAGTGCTAAAACTTAATTCCAAAAGATGAATTCTATAAAAAAAGCAGCCATAACTTGAGACGTTTCTCATTAATTTTTCTAAAATTTGATTGGGTAACTAGGTACCTCAGAATTGTCTTTGAAAGCTGTTGTGCAGATGGATAGAAATTATTTCATTGTGTTCGATAACTTTTCAAAAAAACTTCTGTATGATCTGTGAGTTGAAGGATTGGTGAATAAATGTTTGTCCGAAACGCACTGGAAAAAAATATCAAGTCTCATAAACAGGGTTGCCACCGTCAGGAAATACTGGGAAACGTCAGGAAATTTTAAAAAGTCTTGGAAAATGATGAAAGTATCAGGGAATGATTGTTAGTTCATCTTTATTAGTTTTCAAAAGTGGATTTGACGTTTAGAACAACAAAGTTTGCCTGGAAACTATTTAAAATTATGTCTTTTTGGCCGTTTGGCATATTTTCAATTGTCAAGCAATCTTACCCATATCTGTCAAGGAAATCAGGGATATGCTAGGGAATATAATTTTCTAAATTTCGTGGAAACCCTGAAACAAATGCCAGTGACAAGAGGTTAAAACGATCAACTTTTTCATTTCTTATGACAAAGTTAATTTCAGGTGCAAAGATTCAGTGAGTGATTTCCCAACAAATATTTGGCAGTTCACACTGTGCACCATTGACCTTTCAAATTTCTTTTCTTTTTCCTCACTATCGTTTCCGTTCAAACCTTTTCTCAGCAGATATAATTATTATTATTTTGCAGCTGAAGCCGAAGCTTCTTTATCACCCGAAGAGCTGAACAGAATGAGGATAGCATTTGCGGAAGGCTTTGCAGTTGGGAACTCTAAACATACCGAGCCTCCCAAGTTCACAAAATTCTTAAAAATGTTGCAACAGTTTCTTGGTGTTTGCCTGGTTATTGCTTGTCTTATTGCATTATTATGTAAGTATTGCTTTTATCCTTTTAAGAATTGTTTCATTATTAAATAGAAATGACAAAATTTTTTTAGACCTAGGTACAAAAAAAAAAAAAAAAAAAATTGTTGAATTCTCTCAAAAATATTTCAAGATTGTTAGCATGTCCTGGAAAGAGAGGGGAAAACAAGGGAATATCTTTAATTTAAAATCCACATTCTTAGCATCAGGGATCTGTATTATTTGTCGCTCCTCTGCAAAATCATAAAATAGGAAGGTATACTGAGCTTGAAGAGATGTGCTTAAAAACACTTGATAGGTCTCAATTTGTCCTTTTTTTTTCCAATTTTAATGTAAGTATCAAAACTCCTTCTGAAGTAAGTACTACTTTTTAATCGCTTGATAATTTTCAAATCTTAGAATGTTTTAAGAAGAGATTTCAATAGAATAAAACAATTGTGAAATCCATCAAAAATGTATTTAAAAAAAAAAAAAAAAAAAAAAAAAAAAAAAAAAAAAAAAAAAAAAATCTGGAATTGTCCGTTTGTAAAATTGAAAGGACGATGAAATGAATAGTTGAGCTAGTAGTTGGTCAAAGCAATGAGATTATTTTTCAGAATTTTGTGGAAACCCAAATTTGAAAGGCATTTTTCTTTTGATATTTCTGTTTTCCTTTTCAAAGACAATGTGCCTGAGGTGTGAAGAGAATATGCAATCACAAGTTTATTTTCAAAATCCTTTTTTATTCAGTCCCTTGAAGATGTGAGTTCAATAAAAATGAATAATTTAACAATCCCTCTCTTAAAATGAAAATTTTAAGCAAGGCAGTATCCCGCTTTGTTTATGAAATCTCATTTATCAAGTCGAGAAATGCAGAACAAGGAGCCTAAAGCTCATGCCATTGTGAGTTTGAAGTTTACTCCGCTCTAAAATATTCATAAGCTTCATCTTGCCTAGTCGTGCTTTTTGTTTTGAAACAATGCAAAAATTGGATGGCTGAGTTTTTTTTATTCAGATTTTAGCAGTATCATCTGGTCGACACTTTTCGATCAAACTGAGGGCCGATTAGAAATTGATTCAGAAGCAGTCACTGTCAAGTTTAAGGATGTTAAAGGGGTAAGTATTGTAACCCAGTAAGTCCAAAATTGCTGCGATTGAAGTCAAGCTGTGTTGCTAGTTTCAGAGTGGTAGTTATGATTAACGTGTTTTTTTGGTTTTTTTTCATTGACACAGTGATAAGGAAACTGGCGTTGCCTGGAACTCTTTTGATAATCCGATCCTATCTAACTATTTTCTTATCCAAAGCCTGGACTTATTTTTTAGAACAGTCATGTAAGCAAAGCGTTCCTCAAATTAATAACCTGTGAAACAGCTGCGCAGTTTGGTATGAATCGTTGCAACTATGTACAGTCTGTTGTTGGTCTGGTTAGTAAAACCTGCCACTCAAAATTAACTAGAAAGCATTCTTCTTTTTTCTAGACGTAATCACCACTAACTTTCCCATGATTTTAGATTGCAGGGAGCATTAATTTTTCGCAAATGCGAAAACATGTGTCTTTATTATTAATATAAGAAATAACCCCCCCTCCCCCCACACCCTCCAAAAAATGAGCAAATTTTATTAAGACAACTCAGGTAAATGCTCACAAGGATTGCTCCTGATTCAGCTCTTGACATTAAAAATGAATGGGTCTTTTGTACCAAGCAGCTGTGGAAAACTCAGGAAAATTAGAGGATATTTATTTATATTGTAGAGCCTGAAGCAAGCTGAAGATCAGGGGCATGACAATGAGAGCTTGTCATTCTGAATAGTAGAATTTTATAAATAATTCAAGTAACTCATTAATCATTGCTTGTGTAAGTAGAGCGGCAATATTTGGTAACCAGACAAACATCATGGACTCACTGCAAAAACTATATATGTATCTCTCTTTATTCTTTCCTCTGGGTTGTGTGGCTTGATTTCTTCAAAGTTGGCCTCTGTTTGACTTTTTCGTATCTCACACTGTTTTTGCGTGTGTTTTCAGCGACAACTAACGGCTCCATGTTCCGAATACGGATTGGGAACCAACCAGAAGTCGACTCGGAAGAAATCAATGTCACGTTCAATGATGTCAAGGGGGTGAGTTTTTTCTTTGTTTTCTCAACAAATGACTTTTTTTCTCGAGCTACCCTTAGTGAGACTCTTTTATTGCATGAAGAATACAAAAAAATGTGTTCAATTATCATTCGTTTTCTTAGTTGATGAATTCATACCGGTACCAAGCGTATTGCACACTGTAAAAATAGATGGGCTGACAATGAGTCTAACAGAAATACCCCAAGTCATATCAGGTTTAAAACTAGAATAAGAAGTTTGAAGTTTTTTTCTTTCGCTGACGTGCACAGAATCAATACACAGGAAAAGGTTAACGATCATATTTTCATGTTCAAAACTTTTTTTCTTACTTATAGAAACACTGTTCCGTGTTACAGCATCATTGACACAAAATCAGAGGATTTTTTCAAATGATGAATATGTTGATTTCATTGTTAATTTTTTTTATCACAATTATCTTTTCTTCAGTTTGATATGATTGTAACCACTTAGTTGCAAATTGAAAATTTAAGAATCAACTCTTTTATTGTGCAACAGACCGTTTATGGCTTTGTTTTTATCTTTTTCAGGCTGACGAAGCGAAACAAGAACTGAAAGAAATAGTAGAATTCCTTAGGAATCCTCACAAATTCAAAAAAATTGGAGGAAAATTACCTAAAGGTAAGGGTAACTCATCAAAGTTTTTCTCAACATGTGTTAGCCGAAGAATATCATAAATTCAATAGTTAGGAATTTAAGACAAGTCTGAATGTGATTCATGCTAATGAACAGATTGTGGTTAGATGCTTGAATCGTTTAGACAGAGTGTTACTGATTCTTCCAACATACCTTCATATGTAGTGTAAAACTGATAAGCTCTTCTTTTGAGGGAAAAAGCTTATTCGAACGCGATCTTCCCTCAGAGAGAAATGTTCTTTGGGGCTGTGGCATCATTTTTTTGCACTAAATAGCATTTCTCTCTGAAAGAATATCAGGGGTGCAGGAAGTACTCAATCAGCCGATTGCAGAGCAAATGTGAAGGCACCTGAAGAGGGGTAAAACAATGTGAAGGTCCCTGGAAAAACAGGGAAAAATGTGAAGGCAGAAGGCCTAAATCAGCCAAGCGCATAGATTTTTATGTAGAAAACTGTGTAATGTGCTCTCCAATGCAAAGAAAAAAGTTGAGCGCGCTCTTTTATGCAAAAGGAACAGTGAAGCACGCAGTCTAATGTGGACATTAATGTGAAAGCAACCTCAAAAAATGTGAAGGCTGCCTCCAAAAATGTAAAGGCAAAGAACTTTCTGCACCCCTGGGGGAAATTGTGGTCAAGTGAGCTTTTTCCCTTTTAAAATGAGTATTTCCAAATCACCAACTCACTGTTAAGCACACAAGGCAAATGACGCGCATTATTGCGATGTCTGAAAGCTCAGCCTCTCGATACTTGTTTTGAGCCTCAATGAATCCTGGGTTATTTCAAGGTCGTTTTCGTGGCGGAAACATGTTTGAATTTTCGCATTGTGATAAATAATTCTTGAGAGCATTTAGATTGCTGGTAATTGTTTTTTGATCATGACTGGAAGAACTCATGAGATCACTTGCCGAGCCTTAAAGTTCTTTAATTTTTACGTATTTATTCATTTATTTCAAACAAATCGAGATTTAAAAAACTAACTTCAATTTACACCTGCAAGCCATGAAAGCTTGTACGTTTTATGTTCGAGTTTCTGATTGGTTATCATTGTGCACAACAGACGCCTGCGCACTGTTCCTGTATAATTTGTATACATATGAATCGTGCACATGCTCTGTCATCGATAAGTTTCATACCTGATCAGCCACCATGAGCAACATTTAAGTTAAGCCAAAGGAGTTCGGTTTCTATGGTTTTGTATTTTGTATGGGACTCTTTAGGCTCGCTCAGACAGCTCGACAAGCGGCATTATAAACATGTAATTGTTTCCCCGAGATTCTGTAAGCAGCTAAAGCGGATTGCATTTATCTTGTGAAGCTCGACATGCGACCTGAACGAGTAATTACTGTTCCTCGATTTCTAGAAAATTTGTGTCCAGTTACAGAACTTAGGAACCTTTAACTGAATGTACGATGATATTATTTGAGGCGCTGATGCTTCTTTAGAAAACTTAGAATAAAAGCATAAAAGTGAATATAACAATATAGATAATACTTTCGCAGTGCGCTTTTGTAACACTCAGTGTTGGAATCCCCTGCTTGTTTAGACTTGAAGCTTCTCTGTGCGATCTAAAATATTTTGACAAACAGATGTTCCCAAGAGAATCAATAGTCTTTGATATAATTTGTTTATGACAAGTTCCGATATTCTACCATCAACTAAATTATTTTTTTTTTTTGTTGCAGGTGTTCTATTGGTTGGTCCCCCTGGAACAGGGAAAACTCTCCTGGCACGTGCTGTGGCCGGAGAAGCCGGAGTACCATTCTTTCGAGCTGCAGGACCTGAGTTTGATGAAATTTTGGTCGGTCAAGGTGCAAGAAGAATAAGAGATTTGTTCAGTAAGTCATAAAGAACTTCTCACTTTTTCTCTGATTTTTTACTGTTGCTCTGATCCTATTACTGTTTCAAATTGTTTGTATATCTGTGTTATCAGATGGTCTGAGAAAGTGACCTCTCCATCACGTCTTGTCATCAGGGTTTGCAAGAAGTTGTCATACAGTACACTTTCCTTCCCTCTGAAAATGCTTAAGAAGTATCAAGAGATTATTGTAAGAACAAGGAGGATTCTGTGATAGTTTTATTTTTTTAAGACTTTATTCAACAAAGTACAAGGAAGTACAAGCAGTTGACAAAGGAGAAAAGTTAAATTAGTTTGCCTGCAAATCTGGGATTACAATCAAAATTATTGCTCTCCTAGACAGCAATAAAAATACTTAGGGAGATGCAAAATAGAATCGGAACTTGAGAAAGTGGGCTAAATGACAAAATGTATTAAGGCAGAAATTACTTATCAGGGAAAAAAGACATAAAGCAAAAAAAACCTAATATGAAGTAAAAGGAGTAGATAAAAGATGGAGTTCTGATAGTCTTAATGACTAGAGATGAAAGAGTAGACCAGTAAGGAGGTCTTTAATATTTACATTTCCAGTTGAGAAGAACTGAAAAATGGAGTTTGAAACAATCGGAGCAATATTTCCACAGAACGAACGCTCGGTATGCTAAAACCGCCTAGCGGAATTTCGCATTCAGCCGTACATAGTTGAGTTCATTCGTCAGAGTGGAAATTTGCTGCGACTGTTTCGTGACAACATCCTGTAATTTAAGAACAGTTTCTTGGAGAGATATGATAATCGCTTCATACTTCGTCTCTAAGGACAAGGTGTCGATTTTAATCACGCTTGGTACCAGAGGAACAGCGGGTGGAGGCGGGGGATCAGTTGTTTTAATCACATGATTATTATCTTTAAGTGTTGCCGCATAGGTCCGTCCAGGGACGATCCTATTCAGCTTCACATTAGAGACGGTTTTATTAAACAAATGGTCAATATTCAAGGGAAAGAATGTACATATTATAATAGACTATTTAAAGGTTTTATTTAATTTGTTGTAAATTTGAATCAAGATCTCATTCTGTAGTAATTTCTGGAAATTAATGTAAATTTATCATCTCCTTTTTGTAACAGAGGCTGCCAAAGATCGCTCGCCATGTGTCATCTTCATTGACGAGATTGACTCAGTGGGCGCGAAACGAACCAACTCAGTCTTGCACCCATACGCAAATCAAACCATCAACCAACTCCTTTCAGAAATGGATGGGTTCCACCAGAATGAAGGCGTAATTGTGTTGGGGGCAACAAATAGAAAAGAAGATTTAGACAAGGCTTTGCTCAGACCAGGCCGCTTTGACATTGAAGTCAGCGTAAGTCATGTGTTTGATCAATTATTTAACTCCCGTTATATTTTAATCATGTAATCATATTAGACAATATTTCTCGAGCTACAGAAAATTAGATGTTCTTTGAAAAGTTGAGGGACCAAGAATACATGCATTTTTAGGGCATAGAAAAAAAAAGATTTTTCGTTTTCATCCCTTTATATATCTCAGACTTATTTTGCAAAGGGATGCAAGAAATGCCTTGACTTTTTATTTTTCAAATGAGTCTTCCTACGTATTTTAAAAACCCACAGTTCAATGAGAAACATATGGAACAAACTGCTCAAGATGTAGATAAATCAAAAAGAAACAGTATAATTGAGGACTCAAGTGCACCTTAAAATTCTTAAAACAATTTTTGTTTTTTTTTTTGGACCAGTTTCCAGCATGTAGCTCAATTTTATCCGTTCTTGTGGAAGCTTCCCAATCAGTTGTAGTTATCGCTTATCGCCGAAGATAAGCTACATGCTCAAAACCGGTCCAAATTAAGTATTGCCTTAAAAAGAATTTTAATGTGCAAGTGGGTCATAAATTACATTTTTTCTTTTCTATTTACCCATGCTTCCACAAAATTTTCAAAATGATGACCTTTTCATTTTGTATTATTTTTTGTTCTGTACTTTTCTCTCTCTCTCTCTCTCCCCCTCTCTCTCTCTTTCTTTCTGTATTTGCCGTTTATTCTCCTCCTATTCTCTCTAATCGCTGTGTCTTACATTAATGTGCGATGCTCATGCTGACATACGTCAGTTTTTCCATTTTCACTTGTATCAGATTGTGACTTGCCTCAGATTGAAATTCTCATCCTTTTTTTCATAGGTTCCAACTCCAGATTTCACTGGTCGCAAAGAAATCCTAACTCTGTACCTTAGCAAAGTCCAATGTTTAGCTGTTGATATTGATTACTTAGCGCGCGGTACTACAGGCTTCACTGGCGCTGACTTAGAAAATATGGTGAATCAAGCGGCACTGCGAGCAGCAATTCTGGGTGCTGAGTGCGTAACAATGAAGGACCTTGAATATGCTCGGGACAAAGTTATCATGGGTGAGTAAAGAAATAAAAATAATTGAAATAGATATACTTTGTGAATGGTGAAATGTGCAGCCTTTTATCTGAAAATGATGAATGGTGAAAATTTCACCCAAAAATTCATTGTCTCCTGCACAAAGGAATGTATTTCAAACGCGCTTTCAGTACGCCTTACTTGTGTTTTATTTTTTTATTGTAGAACCTCCAGAGATGCAAAGTTTCATGAAAATTTTTATCATGAAATCTCATATTGCTATTTCATGAAATTTTGTGAAACTCCATTCAAAACTTCTGCAATAGACTAAGTATGTCATGAAACGTATGGAAACAGTTAAATCTTAATTTTGAATTATTTGTTTTTTTAAAAAAAAAAAATCACGAGTCAAATTTCGAAAGTTCTTAACAAACTCTCAAATAGTTACGGCAAGTTGCACTCGCAGGCTGTGAAAAATCGTTGAAATTTCATGTTGCAATTCTGGAATTGTCTCATAAAGTCGCCTAAAATTTCCAGTAACTTTTTTTACACTTGTGACAAAACACTAGTATTTCCAGGGAAATTTGTGTGACTGTTATTTCTCTCATGAAAAATCAAAAGTCTGTAGAAATTCTGAAACGTGGCAAACAAGATGCGCTTAATTGTGGAGGAGAAGTCATATTGACTGCTGAGCAAACAAAGTTCATCCCAGCATCGCAAATTTTTCTCTTTATGAAAGAGACTCAAAGCTCATTGTGTGTGTAAATACATTCCCTATGTCAATAGCTGTTGTTCTAAATCAGACCTCTTATTTTCAGGTCCTGAAAGAAAATCTCGTATTCCAGATGAAGAGGCAAATGAGATTACTGCTTTTCACGAGGGAGGCCATGCCATAGTAGCATATTACACACCACACTCCAATCCGTTGCACAAGGTCACCATCATACCCCGCGGACAATCACTCGGACATGTTAGTCTATCTATCGTACACCTTTCTCCTGATGAAAAATTGTTTTGTCTTCAACAGTAAACATAGAATTTTGCAAAATGTATTTTTAGAAAGTGCCAAGAAAACATCAGAAACGTGAGGGAGATATCTTCCCTGCAAATCTAATACCAAATAATATTGATTATTTGTGAACCAATTTTTTTGAAACTGTTTTATTCATCAGTGGCGTGGCGTCCATAGGTTCGCAGTGTTCGCCGAACACCCTAAAATATTTTGAAACAATTAATAAATTATGGCTAAGAATGTGGGAAACAATACATGTATACAGAATAGTATATCGCAAATAAGTATCGGGCGCTTGGCTTCCGACAGCGGCATGCGGCGCGGCACTGCGGAGAGAGAAAATCCTGTGACGCGTGGTCCGCACCGGCTACCGAACCTGGATGAGAGCGAGAGGGGAACGGGCGGGGCGAGCTGCCGGGCTGCCCGTCCCGCGTTACCCATGATCTGCGTTCGATGAGGAGAGAGAACCTGGGTGCAATGATGAAGGGGCAAGGGGTACACGAGAGAGGAGAGGCACCGGCGCGCGGCGTAGAGCGAAGCGTGAGCATTGGGTTCCCAGGAAAATGATAATCCTAAATTGTTTCCACCGATGTCAAAATGTGTGTTTTTTTTTTAATTAGAAACAATGTAAAAAGCAAACAAGGATGTTTCTCTCATATCTTTTCTTTTTATTTGGCCTCTGCTAATTAAAATTAAACTTACATAATGCGTGAAATTTTTCCAGACATCTTATATCCCAGAAAAGGAGAGATATCATGTAACAAAGTTGCAGTTGATGGCGCTCATGGATACGATGATGGGTGGCCGAGCTGCGGAGGAGTTGATTTTTGGACCAGATAAAATCACGTCTGGCGCCTCTAGTGATCTCAAAGTAAGAAGAATCTTTGTATAAACATTGAAGACTTGGTAAGGTTGTACGGATTTAAAATTCACCATGTGAAGAGAATTCAAAAGTAATCACCTGATTTTACAGGTGAAAAATGAGAGGAAGAGCTTTTTCTGAGAAGTTTTGGCCGTCTCAAACAATGATTTCAATCCAATATTGACTCGACTAATTCTTTATTCTCAGCTGAACCAGGAGGCATAATTTGATTCTGCAAGAAATTTCCTCGCAGAAGGCCCCTGAATTTTGTTTTTTGTTTCAAAAGAGAGGGGGATAAAATAAAATAAGAAAGGAATGGCTGTAATGTGTGAATGCATGTTGTTTGTTAGTGTTGTAAGGATTGATATCTTGTCTCCCTTTGAATTTTAGAATGTCTAAATTTTTTGTTGTATTTGATCTATTAAAAGGCCCCTTTTTTACTCTTCCAGTCGTTACATCTATCATTTTTCTCGTAAAATCTTTCTAATGATGTATCAAATGGTGTTTTCCAGCAAGCAACATCCATCGCAACTCACATGGTTAAAGAATGGGGCATGTCCGACAAGGTTGGTCTTCGTACTTTTGATCAGGAAAATAATGCTCTAGTCAAAGTAAACGACTTAAGTCCAGCCACAACTGAAGTATTAGACTCTGAAATCAAGAAAATATTGCAGGTTAGTAATCGGAGTAAGATTTAAAGTGTAGTGTTTAGTGTATACAGGTGCTGTCTTAGAATCCCAGTGTTTCGGGCAGCATAAAATGAGTTGAACAGGATGTCCCCTTTATGTCTTATATTCCCTGGAAGCTCTTATGTTGTAAAAAATATGTTAGCAAACAATGTTTTTCTACAGTTCTTTTTTATCAAATATTTAATTTTCAGAAATTGTCTGAGTTTGCGTGTCGATTCCTTACCATGCCTTTTAGAATAGACGGAAAATTGCCTAAGCACTGAATGTATGTGTCAAGTCCTAATATGTATACCCACCAAGGGCAGTTTTGGATTAATCTCTGATGTATTCCTTTGTATGGAAATTTAAAAAAAATTAGAATCAGTAGTAGCATGGCGTGTTTTGCGTCAATTGACCTACATACTACTGAAAGTCATGGAAAAGGATCAATTATCAGGGTGTTTGAAACCAACACCTTAATAATTGATTCTTTACCATAGCTTTTAATGGGAAAATATCAGTAGCCGCTTATGTACGCCTTGTCATTGAGAATCGTTTTACAACATTTTTGCTGTTAACTCCTTATGCAATATTTGTAGCAAGTTGAGGCAATTTTATGTGGCCTTTTACTATGACTTACTTTGTTCTTATTAACCTTACATTTGTAAAAAGTTTTGTGAAACTTAATATGCAGTAATTCTACTGTTTAGATCTGATTAATTTTCCCCCTCAACTGGCCAACCTCCGAGAACTCTTCAACAATTGTTACGCACTCCATATCGCCATCTTTACTTTATGTACAAAGAATAAAATAGTGCTTGAACCTGTTTGCTTACTTGTTTGTTTCAGGAATCTTATGATCGCGCTAAAAGAATCCTAGTGAAGCATGCAAAAGAACACCGACTGCTCGCCAAAGCACTCCTGAAACACGAAACAATGGATGCTGAACAAATTAAATTGCTCATAACCAATGCTGGAGAAGAAGCGAGCAGCCCGAATTCTTGATCTCCCTGGCTACTGCTTCCATTCTTAGTTTTAAACATTGTTTACTTTTTTCGTTGAAAATCCTCTCTAACTTGCATAGCCTTGTGAAACCAACCTGGACTTTCCGGTGATGAAGTAATTTCAATTTTTGCGTTTTAAGGGATCTGTTGGAGGAAGAGTTCAAAGGGGTAAAAAATATGTAATTACCATCCTATCAGTATACATAATGCAAAAAAAAAAAATTAAGATGGAAGATAAAGCAAGTTGGTTCTAGCCAATTTCTGAAAATTTTCTCAATATCATTAAAGGTCTCAAAAATGAGTTAGCATTTTGAAACTGCTTCTGACCAGTTAAAAATCGTCATGACTTTGTAGTAAAATTTTTGTTATTTTTACCGATAAGCTAAGTGTATTGATTTTATAATTTTTGTGAAAGCAATAGTTTGCACAAAAAGGAAAAAAAAAACAACTATATCATACAGAGGCCTGTTTCTTCTAACACAGAATTCCTTTACTCATAACAATGCCCCCCTCCTCCCCATTTTTTTCTTGTCTGTACTCTATTTTTTCTCTGGAATTGTATCACCCCCTCTTCCACTCTTCAGTATATTTTTTGAATCAAAACATTAAGATCATTTCTTAGAAGCATATGAATTCCTTTTGTCTCTGTAAAGTTTTCTGTTTTGATACTAGACAAAGTTAATCTGTGAAATACATACACATGTTTATGTAGATGGTTTCATTTTATTTTTACCCTGTATTTACAACCATTCCTCAAGGGTGAACAGCTTAAGTTTATGCTCGCTTAAAATTGTTTAAGATGCACAACAATACTTCGATTATCTAATAAATTGTGGTAAAAGCCTAAGCCAGGTTATAAAACATAGATTAAATCACATAAAGTCTGTATGAATAAAACAAAGAAAACGGAAATCGAAAAAATGAGGAATTGAACATATGAAAATGCCTCATTAGTGATGAGCGGATAATCAAGGTATTACTCTTCTTACCTTTTTCATATGATACTGCCAGCAATTCTTGAAGGTATAAAGCATTGATTGGTAAATTACGATTTGCATGATGTTTTCCGAAATTTTTGAATGAGTCTCGCACCGATGATTTACTACTGAGTGACAGAATGGTCTGTTTTTTTGTTTTTGTTCTGTCAATTGAAATTCATTATCAGTGAAGTATCTCCTTACTCTATAGCTGTAATATACTTTGGGTGCACTGTAGAAGATTTATTTTACTGGCGTATTGAGAGTAAACCTTTAAAGAAACAGGGAGGATGAAAAAATTTATCACATCAATGTAAGTATTCTTACCTAAATCTACTATATCAAATTAAAATAACCAACTATTCCAATTCAGAAAGCTGTCTGATACCGATATTGGATTACTTGTGTCCTGATTTGCAACTTCAATCTTATCTTTCGCCTTATTTTGTTTTTATGGATGCAAGCCAATACTTGTTTCTCAAACTATTGCAAGATTTTCATCGCTCAAGGTAGCGCTGCATCTTGAAATTTCATGTGAAAATGCTCGTCACTTTCCTTATATCGCAAACGAAGTCCATTTGAGCAGAAATTTTGGGGTGCCTCATTTAAGAATGGATTGCGATTTCTCAAGCTCCTTGCTCGCATTGAATATCAGTGAACAGGATTTCATTCTATGAGCATGAATTTGTGGCGGCATATAAGGACCATGTCTTTCTTGCTGCATGATCATCTAATTTCTTTTACCAATGAAATATGAGAAGCTTACTATCCAAGAATGTCATAAACGAGGATGCACTTTAGCTCCCATGAAAATTCTTATTCACCCCTTTGCAATGGGCTTGTAAGTTCGCGCATTGTGGCTTGCCTTTAAGGACATGTCATATTCTTCAAATTAAGTGTCAGTGGTGACTTCATCGCCTCTGAGCCTAGGACTCGCAGGGTTGGTAAGGAGATAATATCACATCAAGTAACACATGTTTAGCCTTTGAAACTCGGTTAAGCGTTTGTAATGTGTTCGTGGAAAGAGAAAATACTGTGGAGAGCCGCTCTGGTAGTGTGGAGTTGTGACTCCCCGCGAGGAATGTATTCGAATTTCGCGGTTTTATGGAGTGTACTCGTCTAGCCAACTCTGTACCTCTTACACCATCACTCAACTGTTAGTCCCAGTATGCATTTGATGCGCATCTCGATTCCTGACCCACCTCTTTCAAATAATGCAATACTTTTGCCATTTTCCGTATTTTTTCAACACATTAATCACCAAGCAATTTTCTTTCCAGGCATACAAAAAAAATTATCAAAATTTCATCATAAATATTTTCTATTTTGCAGTTGTCTTACTGTGGAGGCGTGTTCAGTATTTGCATGTATGGCCAACAGGCGGCGCTAGTATGGCATTATTTGACGCTGTTGTCAAGCTGTACAACGATAGAAATTTTGCTCTAGAGAGGAGTGACCTCATTTATTTGCCTTATCAGGTAACATGGCACAACAGATATCTCTTTTCTGTACGCACGGGCGCCATCTTGATCGCCACCGAGTTCTCCGTGTTCCGCTTGTGGTCTTGAAGGTCCACGTCCCTTCAATTTGTGACTGTTATACAAGTTATTTGTCTCTCTTTCATCGATTTTATTTATTGGTTTGCTAGTTTTTTGTGTTTTCGTGTAATACAACTGTGTTTGTACGTTTTTAGGAACCAATTCTCAGGTAAGTCAGCAACTACCTTTTCTCGGGCATTACGCAACGTGTCACCACGTTGAATCTCGAACCGAACCTTATTTTTATACTTCGGATAATTTTAGGATTTCATTATGACCCCCAATTTTGCATAGTTTCACTCCAATCCTATTGCCCTTTGGTAAAATTCTAGTAGGACCTCGTCTCATGTCCAACCATTCTTTGTCCTTGAGCTGGTATGGAGCTGGTGGGCTCCCCTTTAGGCCTTAGCCAACTCCATCTTCTTTTTATGCCTTGTCACTGTACTGCTTTATGCTTTATGCCTCATAAAATTGCTTCAACAGACAACAGAGGAAAGTTTGGTTGCCCAACGCCTCAGAAGTTGGGTCATAATTTCTGCGCTTGCAAGCGTTAATGGCTACCTCAACCAAATACACAGCTGCAATGTATTTACATTGAGTCTTCTCCCTGGCCCTTAAATTAGTCCATGTACTTTCATATGCCCGCCCCAGGGTGAAAGTTCATTTCATAGCTCCGGTACAGATGTAGCTTGACTGTGCTGCACATGCTTAAGGTACTCTTGTCTGCCGAATTCCAGTTGCCTGAAATGACTTTTGAGAGAGCAATCATCGTGGACAGCTTGATCAAGGTTGCTTTTTCATCAAATTCTTCAACCCCTCTACCAAGTGTCTGTAAAATCCATGCCCCTAACCCTTTATAGTTTGTTAAAATAATTTTGGATTTCACATTTTGGGGGACCCTAAGTAGGCTATCTTCTAGCTTTCATTAAAAACTGAGTACTTACCAATTTGCATTTCAAAATTTTAAACATTTAAGTAGAATTCAGTTATTTAAGAAAAGAAAAAACTAATGAAACTTTTCGAAACCATGCTACCGAGGACAGAGATCAATTTTTTAATACCCAAAGTACGTGTTGTTTTGAAGTCACAACCTGATGCCGTTGAAGGTTAATAGAAGAATGCGGGAGTTTTGCAAATTGGCACTCTGTTTTTAATGAAAGCTACAAAGTAGATAAGTGTCCCCCAGAGTGTGAAAGTACTTACATGTTCTCAGGGAAAAGAAAGTTTCTGGTGCTGAAAGTGCGCACACCTGAAAAATTGTGAACCGGGTCATTCTGAAAGCATGTTGGAGAGAAAGGATAATCACGGCAGATCAAGTTCTTTGGGAAATAATGATGGATAGATTCGACCTTTTTCATGATCATTTTAACTGTCAGCTATGTGCCATCAGCCATTTTCTGACAGCCCTAGTCTTTGGGGCCAAGACAGAATCTCTTAAACTGAAACTCCCCTGTTTTTTTAAAGGAAAATCTGCACAATTTTTCTTCTTTTATCTTTAGGATTAGGGATTTGAAGTGAAACGACCACACCGAATAGAAAAATAACATTAAGAAATATCGAAATTACTCTGTGTAAAGCTTTACACTTATGTTTACTGCCCACCAGGGTACTTTAATATCTGTCTTTGGAGCTTGCCTTTTCCTCAGTTTATTAGACCGACAAGGTAAAATTAGGGACTCTGTGTAGAGGTGTCATCAGCTAAGTTGATGGTTGTTTACTTTCGGTTTGCAGGCGTTTTCGCGCCACTGCTATCCACATGAAAACATCTGGCTCTCTCAGAAGCAAGAACACAAGCCTAGATAAGTTTTTTAATACTTTCAAACCTTGTAACACTTTAATTTTTAGCCACACAGAAATCACAACCACAAAAATGTTGCAAATCATAACTGATAAGTAGCTTTTTTATGATACAATCATGAGGCTGATGTTTTCAATGTGGATAGTAGCGAACGCCGCTTTGTTCAGAGGCCCAAATTTATTGTTGGCGCTTGCAAACCGAAAGTAAACAACTGTCAACTTAGGTGACGACACCTCTACCCTTATACACGTATTAGGGCTGTCGAAACTCGGGATCGATACTGGTATCAACTGAAAGCATCAATACTGGTATCAAGCATCGAGCTGAAGTATCGATACTTTTGAGGTATCGATACCATTGATACTATTTCTAAATGTTGCCTTTATAAGGAGTGTGCGTATGTCAGTCGGCCATTTAATTCTGCCAGATTTATGCCTCTCTCAAAAGTGTCCTTATTCCCATGCTTAGTCAACGATTATAAGCCCTGTACTGCGGTTATCAAACCGACCTTTTAACATTGTTAACTAGAATAATCATCTTGAAAAACCTGATTACTCTGCTTGTCACAGTGCCTAGTGAAGGTGGAACAGAAGGGAGAGAGGTTATTAAGAAAGAAAAAGAGGCCCTCTTCATGGCCATATCAGATGAAGTACTTATTGATATCATTGATATTGGGGTCTGAGGAACAATACCACATGGTATCGATATTGTTGAGTATCGAACAAAAGTATCGAAACTTTGGAAGTAT